CCCCAAAACCCCAAAACCCCAAAACCCCAAAACCCCTTTCATATATTTATAGATTGATTCGCGCCTTTTTAATAAAAATTTTAGACTAGAAATTTTAAAAGTTCAAAATGTTCGAAGCCAAACTTGCTGAAGGAATTATATTCAAGAAGATTGTAGAAGCTATTAAGGAACTTGTGAGTGATGTCAATATTGACATTAGCCCAACAGGAATCTCCCTACAAGCTATGGACAACTCCCATGTTGCATTGGTATCCCTCCAGCTTTCTATGGATGGATTTGAAAGCTTCAGATCCGACAAACCAATGACTTTAGGAATTAATATTGGAAATTTGTTCAAGATCATGAAATTGGGAGACAGTGATGATTCAATGACCTTGAAAGCAGAAGAAGATCCATCCCACTTGACCATCATCTTCGAGAACGAGAAGAAAGGAAGGTTTGCCGAATTCAACATCAATTTGATCAATATCGACACTGAACACTTGAGCGTAAGTGATAATGAAGGAGGATCCCAACTCTCAATGGCCTCAGGAGAATTCTCCAAGATCATGAAGGAACTTTATCAAATCTCAGAGACAGGTAAGAAACTTCCCAACTCATTTTTGCGCAAATTAGTAAAGTAGTTATTCAGAGTTTGAGCTAAAATTTTGCTATAGTCAACATTGAGACCTCCCCAGATCTCATCCAGTTCTCAGTAGAAGGAGATTGTGGATCAGGAAGTGTCAAGATTGGGCCAACAGACGGAGAGACTAGAGAAGAGCAAGTTGCTATTAAGAGTGATGAACAAGTAAACCTCTCCTTCGCTCTTAGATATTTGACCATGTTCACTAAGGCCAGCGGATTAAGCTCCATGGTTAACGTAAGCCTCTCCACAGAAGCACCACTTGTTGTCAAATACGAGATTCAGAACTTGGGATCCTTGCAGTATTACCTGGCACCAAAGATCTCAGATGAAGAGTAGATAAACTAGCATTCTCAAATATTCAATTTTACAGTTCAAAATAGGGGTTTTGGGGTTTTGGGGTTTTGGGGTTTTGGGG